TCCTTTTTTTTAAAAAAAAAAAAAAAAAAAAAAAAAAAAATTTATGAGTTGAATCTGAACTGTAAGTTCTGCGTGGCGGTTATAATTTTAAATTATAACTAATGCGTGTATGTTATTTAATTATGAAATACATTAATTTTAATTAAAAAATATTAATCATAATGCATATTGATCTTTCAAAAAGTCATAATTACGGCAAACCTAATTAAATTTCGCTGATTTTTAATTAACTCATTTTGAACCGCTAAATCCAGTTTGCATCATACTTTACTTAATTGTTTAATTGATTACTACACGAAGTAATACGTGGGTCACCTCTAACCACAATTTATGTTAATTAAATAAGTTTATTAACATATGGTTCTCAACTTCCCCACCATCGCCATTGGCCAGGGACAGGTGTCACCTCCTTTTATGTCCACTCAATCCATAATCTCCTCCACCAATGAAAATATATATTAATATTATAATATAAAATCAAATTTAAATAATAATGAATTAGTTCTTTAATTAAAGAAGAGAGTACTTTATTCCTTATTTATAACGTCATGAACACGTACTTATTGGAACAAATTTATTTGTGATATGAATTAGACATATTTAACACCATATTTTAATAAAAATTTTAAAAACTAACCTAATAATTAATTTAAATTTATTGCATTATTATTTGATAGAATTAAATTTTAAAATAATTTAGTAACCCTTGCTGGTTATTATATATTTTTTTTTAGAAATATTGAAATTTTAAATTTGTTTTGAACAAGTTACCAATTTTCAACTGAAAATTAATTATAAATAAATAAAAATATATTCTGATTTAAAAATAAATAAATAAAACAAAATTTCAAGTGTGTGATAATTCGTACCCTTTTAAATTACATACCAAACCATCACGATGACACGTGGTGGGTCCTACGCACAGTGATGGGTTGAGCGTCGAGCATGATTGCGTGTGCCAGAGCAGCACCACATCGCTTCTCATCGGAACTCTCTTTTTATTTTCGTTTTTAATTTGATGTCAAGGCTTTCAAGTAGATGACAAAACACGACGCATCGATATTCGTACACGTGTCCCTCCGGATCGGATCAGCCCCACGTGGTGGGGGTACGGTAGGGACCACAGAAAAGCGAAAAGGGCGGTTAGAGTGAGGAGAGGAGACGAGAGATTGGAGACAGATGCCTTTGCGAAAACTCGGGGGTCCCATCCTCACGTTTCCATAACGGTCAAGTCTTGGGACCCATTGCCACGTGTCTCCGGTGAATCAACAAAGTGGGCCAGACTTGATAAACCCCTCACGTTAATCTCTCCACGGCCGGGCAAGGGGAGTACGTGAGCAAACACCTTTTACATATTATTTAAATATTATTACATAAACAGTTTATTTCAGTTTTAATGTCAAATTTAATGAAGATGGGACGACAGATACAGAGAACACAAGCGTGCCATCTCAGGTAGGGCATGATCAGTGGTTGTGCTGAATTTTTTGGCCATCTATTCTCACGTGTGAAGTATGGTTTGTTGGGCTATTCACTTCCATTCTATATCATCCATTCACTTTCTCCACATATCCATACACATACATAGATGTATATCTATATATGTATGTATATATTAGGCCTTCCCCATGTCAAAGAACAAAGATGATGTACGCGGTCAACGATTTACATCAGGCACACGTGGTGCATACTTAGACAGGAAAGGAAAGGCAAAGGTGGCAGAGTTGCCACGTTAAGAGAGTTCATTCTAGCCCACACTGTATTATTCTTCATTTATTAATACAAGAAAAGGAAGGCGGAGACATACACTCTGTTTTTCACCAAAATTTGTAAATTTCATTTTCTTTCAAAGCTCGTTCAAATCTTTACATGGTATCAGAGCCATGGCTCAAGATGAACAAAACTAAACCCTCAACGTCAACCCCTTTGCTGTGAGCGAAACCATTTTTGATCCTACCAATCCCATCAGTCCATATTACATTGCCCCCAACGAAAACTCAGGAGCTGTTCTTGTTCCACAGCTTCTTGAAATAACAAATTATCATGGATGGGCCAGGTCCATGAAGAGGGCATTAAGAATAAAAAATAAGTTAGGATTCATCGACGGGAGCATTCCTCCTCCAGCTAATGCCAATAACCCCTTAATGGAATACTGGCTCAGATGCAATGATATAATGATCACCTGGTTACAAAACGCACTATCAGCAGATATTAAGACAAGCACTCTCTATGCAGAAACGACACACGAACTTTGGAGTGAGCTTGAGCATAGGCATGCACAGCAGAATGCACCAAGGGTTTACGAAGTGAAGCAGAACATCGTAAACCTCGTACAAGGAAGCGACTCAGTAGGTATTTACTATTCCAAACTCAAGGCACTTTTTGATGAACTGCTGAACTACAAGTCAATACCAAATTGTACCTGTGGAGGTTTGAAAGGTGTAACCGATTACCAACAACGAGATTGTGTGATGAAATTTCTGATGGGGTTAAATGAATCTTTCAAAGGATTGAAGGCTCAGGTGCTCTTGATTAAGCCTTTTCCCACATTGAATGAGGTATATTCCATCATTCAGTAGGAAAAAAAAAGGAGGGATATATGACCAACTAAAGGGGGAGACGATGACGATGATGACTAAAGATGGAGGAAAGGAAAGTAACACACAAACTCTAAACTCGAAGAAGTACTATTGTAGCCACTGCAAGGTTTCGGGGCACTCACTGAAAAGATGCTTCAAAGCGAACCCAAACAAACTTAATTGCTCGCACTGTGGAATGTCAGGGCATACGATGGAGATCTGCTACAAACTCCTTGGATATCCCAAAGGGCATAAACTGTATAAGGGAAGCAAATCCAGAGAGACTCATGCAAATTAAGTCTCAAAGGACACAACACAGGAATTGTTTAGGATAATAAAAACTGAACATGATCAGTTGGTCGCACTCCTGAAGCAAAATGCCAGTTCCTCCTCAAAGGAAGATGACTCAAACAATTTATCTAACTGTTCTGGTATATTTACTTGCTTATCTAAACTCAAAAACCCACTAAAATGCAGTGATCAAGCACCCTGGATTATCGACACAGGTGCGTCTGATCACATCATATGCAGGACCTCCACTTACACTTCAAATGTACTCAAAGTATCACACTCAGTTGTTCTCCCAAATGGAAACAGAATAACAACAACCCACTTCGAATCCGTTAAACTCACAAAAACCTTGACCTTAAATAATGTTTTGTATGTACCTAATTTTTCCTTTAATTTGCTATCTGCCAAGAGACTGACAAAAAATCAGAATTGCTGCTTGACCTTCATATCTAATGCTTGTTTTTATAGACCTTTTTACTTGAGATCATTGGTATGGACAGAGTAAATGA